GTTTCCTGTGTCCAGTTAGTGTAGAGTGCTGCTGAACAGCAGTCTAAATGTAAAAAAAAAAAAAGGTCACTTTAACCTGACCCACACCTCCTTGCACATTTCTTATAAAATCAAATTCTTAATGCTTATGTTTAAGGTTAATTGCATACGTATACTGCATAATCAACACTGGATGTAATCTCGACGACATTGGAAATGAGGGAAACCTCAGTGTCCTTCGAGACTAAATAAAGGTTTGAAATAAATGCATAAATGCAACATCCCCAGCTCTATTTCATACGTATAACAGATTCTGTTCTTTACATACTTGATTTATAGTGAATGTAGCCCTGGCTGTCCTTTTTGAACAAATGAACAAAAACACATGTGATGCTGTTGATGATTATCTTCGTGTCCTGAGCGTTAAGGTTACGTGTGAGCTTCTGTGTACATAAAGAAAATTTTCCCTGTGTTGAAAGCACTTTTGTACAAACTGTTTTGTTTATAAATCTCTATATAAATAATCCTGAACTTCAGTCCAAGTCGTAAATATCACAAAATCCCCTCGTGACATGTTAATGCAACAGTAAAATGATTAAGTGGCTGACATTGTCCATCTGGAGTTAAGATTAAACTGTTAATTTAACTATGACACATCCCAGTGGTCTAATTAACTCCACTCCAACATGTGCCACTGAGGTAGCTCTCATCTGTGCCAAGAGTAAAAGTACACCAACACCTTTGCTGCCAGCACCAGGATTTCAGCTTCTGTTTATGTTTGTTGACAGCCAGCCAATGTAACCTCACAGCGCACCATTTCACACTGGAGACGTCCTCAAATGTGTTGTGTGGTGTTTCACATATGGCTCGAAACAAAATGCATGCACTGTATATAATGTGGCTCATTAAATTAACTATGTTTCTTGTTTGTCAAGTTTAGTTTTATTCAGAAAATAAAGCAGCTGCCAGTGACACTTAATATTGTTGACTTTAGGGTTGTGCAGCGCTGATGAAGCCGACCCCCTGGAGGGTTTATGAGTGTTAAAGTTATCCCTGTCCACAGATCAGCAGATGTTAGCGTCCACTGCTCTCCAATAATGACCTGCTGACTGAGGGGAGGCAGTGTGTGTCTCAGACTAAGTATGTCTCAGCGGGGAATAGCTTTGACGTATGCTGCTGTTCCTTGAAAAGGCGAGCATGACGTCTTTTGTCACAACTTCACTTTCAAAGACTTTACTGTCTCGGGAAGAATGTTAGCATTTCTCACAGTTGATTTAGTCACGACCGGCTTGTCCATTGTAATCAATCAGGTAAATGCTCCAGACTTTTCCGGGGCTTTCATTCTCATCGTGTTCACCTTTTTAAGGAGCAGCTCTGATCACATCAGACGCTGCAGCTAGCCCATCACCCACACACCGAGCCACAGACCACTCCACTGTGCTGTGTTGAATCATACTGTCTGACCAGCTTTGCACACGGTTCTGATAAATAATTGTGAAGTGCTCTTAGCAGCGCTGTTTGCAACAGGCGACTGACAGAGTTCAATCAATGTGTCTGCCAGAAAACAGAGAGAGGCTAATGAGATTTTCTGTCATTTTACAGCACAGACACGCTGTGGCTGTCAAATCTACTCTAAATCATGATGTCTGTCACTGCTTGTGATTCTTATTTGTGTCAGCCTATTCAGTCAAATAATTATTTTTATTAAATACTAGACCTCGACAGGCAGGTCTGGCAACATGCCATGAATGATAAGATAGGAGTTCTGTTTCTTGATTAAAGTGAATTTAGACATCTTGTAAATAACGCTTACTCGTGCTCTTTACAAGAGTACAAGAGTTAGATGAAAAGATCAATACCACTGTCATGCCTGTATGAAGCTACAGCAGCTGGTAATCTTAGCTCAGTACAAAGGACTGGAAACAGCTGGTCTAGATCTGTCCAAAGGTAACAAGCTCTGCCTACTGGCACCTCTAAAGGGCACCAATTCACAGTTTGTTATTTCTGTACAAAAAACAAAGTGTAAAGACGTCAGTTCATCGTCGTATGGTGAGTTATATGACAGAGTATTTCTTTGCCAAGACCAGTCACTTCCTAGAGTCTCCGCTCTCCTCAGAGCCATGAAACAGTCAGACACATAACGTATTGTAAAACAGTAAATTGTCGTTTATACCTAAAGGTAACCAGTGGGGCTGAGAAATAAAGCTAACATGGAAATGGCAAAAACTGCAGTTCAGCTGGCTCCAAAAGCAAGTGCAATCTCCATAGACCCCTTTGTTAAAATCCATCCTTCCATCCATACATACATTTTCATCCACTTGTTGCGGTGTCCCAGGTTGTGGGGGCAGCAGGCGAAACAAAGCACCCCAGACGTTCCTCCCCAGCAATGTTTTCCAGCTCCTCCTGGGGGACCCCAAGGCGTTCCCAGGCCAGACGAGATATGTAATCCCTCCAGCGTGTTCTTGGTCTGTACCGGGGCCTCCTACCACTGGGACATGCCCAAAACACCTCAAACGGGAGGCACCCAGGAGCCATCCAGATCAGATGCCCATGTTAAAATGTTGAACTTTACAGCAGAAATAAGCATGTTTACAGCCTGGTCCAAAAAACTGTTTTGGTCTCAATAGCTGATTTCAACAGTCATGACAACTGTACGGAGAGTGAATATCTATATAACTCACCCTTTTATATTCTGTTAGGGCTTAAAGTTATGCAGAATTACGGGTGAGTCGCTTTGAGTGACAAGCTGTCAGCTCCACCCTCTCATCCAAACATGGTCACTTGTAGCTCCAAAAAAGATGGTGATGGCTGAAATGCCAAAGTGGAGGCTTCAAAACAAGAGTCCACAAACCAATGGGTCATGTCACAGCTCTGTCCATGATACAACATGCTAATTAGTAGTGGTGTAAATCAAAAGCTCCATCACAATACAATATGATATTGATTCTTTGGACAATAATATATTTGCCGATATCACAAAGTCTGCCACATTTTTGATTTGATTCAGTTCAGATCCCTGTGATCGAAATAAGACGATATCAGTAAATATCATCATTGTCTGTTTCTTGTCTGCTAGGTCGCTAGCACTGTTTGACTGTTTAGGAGGGAGGTGTGCTTGGACGGATATGGTGGCATAAATGCGGCATGGAAATTTAACAAAAAGATATCTTAAAGATTACAATATGTACTGATGTTTTAACTTTGCATTGGATATGGATCATTGATCCTTAAACTGATATATTAATCCAGATCAATATATCGTTAGTTAGAGATGTAGTAGATGTGTTTGAAGGTGTTCCTCCCTGTTTCCAGTCTTGATGCTAAGCTAAGCTGGCTGGCTACTGGCAGTAGATTCAAATGTTCATTATGTACAGACATGAGTGTGGTGTCAATTTTCTCATCTTACTGTCAGCCAGGAAGAAAATAAGTACTCTCTGTGCTCCCCAAGGGTTTTCTATCATTGGATGACCTGTTCTGTACCTTGGGGTTCAGATGAGTTTGTAACATGCTGTTTTATTACGTACATTCTTGACTTTCCCACTCATCATACCAAATTATGAACAAATGCATTTAACTTACGTGACTGGAGAAAATCACATTCGGAGCAACCAGCAACCCCAGTAACTGAATCATGTTTAAAGAGCTGGCATGAAGCTCTGATTGTCTACCTCATGGTACGGCTAAATTTGACTCCGCAGCACACAACCCTAATCAGCTGCATCAAAACAATCATTAACTAACCTCCTGTTGCCTCCTTCTGTTTCTCTGCCTCCTTCTCCACACAACTCTGAGACCCCTCGCTCTCACCTCACACACCCCGTGTCCCATCATCCCCTTCACAGAGCTCCATAACACAAACAGGACCTCACAGACAGTACACCGAGGAGGCTGAAACAGTATCACACACTGAGAAAAAAAACACGCTTTCACAACACAGTGTTCAGAACATGTGAACATTATGTTGTCAACAACGTTCATGTGTACCCTGTTTTAGTTTGAGCCTGGATTTGAATTATGAATTTAGCTCTGTATCCTGTACATTTTTAAGGCTTTTACCGCCACATGATAATTCTGGGTGCATGTTTGTTTTTATGCATTACTCCTCTGTGCAGCTGCTCTGTTAAAGGTACAGCATGTCCTACATGTAGCTGAATGGATGTTTTGATACGGCGCACAGCACATCTCATCAAAAACACAGGCAAACCCTTTGCTTCGGGGTTTTATATTGACAACATTTTGTGCCGACTGGAGAACTGCTGTCCACTCTGTGAGCACACATGGCTCCAGGTTGAAACTATCTAATAATGTTTAATTTACTCTAATGGGTGTTGGCTTACATAAACACTGTTGTAGGGTTGATATAATCATTTTCAGAATTAAATTAATGGCCACAATTTTTCTGTTTATGAAAGAGACTAATATACAGTGTATCACCGTGTGCTTGAAAAGCCTCACAACAGCACAGAAAGCAATTTGCTGCAACATAATCTACCAGCAAACAAATGAAATCACATTAAATACATTTGCTTTCATGATTTTCCCTGATATAGGGATATATATATTTTCATTGATATAATATTGTACAAAATCTCATCAAATCACTGTGGAACATTCGTGTCTCGTTCTCACGTGTTTCGGTTATCTAAAGTAAATATTAAAACTATAAACAATGCGTTTTTTGTCAGTGACACACCAATCTCCTCTGTTTATTCTGGCTCTTTAATGGTGTAAAGGTCGTAAACCTGAGCCCTTGGACGTAATATAAGTGATGTCCTCCCATAGGTTGTGAGGTTACAAGCGTACCATTGATAGGCTGCCTGTGAATGGTGTTAGGAGGAAGCCATCTGCTGCTGTTTATGGTTCATTAACTCCGCTATCCCTGGATAACCAGGCTGCCCCCACAGCAACAGGTACAACAGGGCTAATACTTAGAAAAAAAATAATCATTGGCCAAGTCTTGTTTCTGCTTCAACATGCTCCTCAATTCAAAAACAACAATAACTGGAAACTCTTAACCTTACCTTCCCAGATGTCCATAGGTATACTGCGAATCTGCCAGCAGTAATGTGATCTCGCCCTTCTGCATGGACATGACACCCTCCTCCAGGGCCTACAGGTGTCAAAACACAGTGTGTTATTTAGAGGACTGACTGAGCTTTTACATAATTACACGAAATGCATTGAAGCATAACTTTGTGTTGTGCCCTTTAAATTTACTTAAACATAGGAGGATGAATCACAAGTTTCAAGCATTTTAGCACTTTCAAGCACTTTCATTGCCAGGCTAGCTCTGGGGATGGCAATGTTGAGAGTTGGTTCAGACTGAAATATCTCAACAACTATCTGACAGATTGTCATAAAATGTGGTTCATATATTTGTGGTTTCCACAGGATTAATCATAGTGATTTTGGTCATGTTCTGACTTTTGCTCTAGCGCCACCATGAAGTTAACATTTTTCATTTTAAGTCTTAACAACTATGTTCCAATACTTTGGTTTATGACCCTGAGCCTGTTTATACCTGCTGTTGACATATGTTCCAATGATCTGACCATCACTGTTCACACCTGTGTCTATCCTGTGTTTCCATCTGTGTTGAGATTTTTTCACTGCCTATATCATGCTTACGCTAAAAGGTCAAAGAGCCCCATTGTTTGCTAGACTTGTGAGCGGTTTTGTTGGTACAGCTGAAGATATAGCTGTCAGTAGAGTCCAACACATCTCCTTCCATAAAGCAAAACCATGGATGGTCGTGCAACACTTGTCTTAACTACCATACACAACAACCACCATGTCCTGCACTGATGATGTAGTCCTTGTCAGGGATGCTTTAGGATGCATTTACACTACATAAGACGTGGTCAAATGCGCCTCAGACCGACTTGGCAATGGGTTTGAGTGATTGGAACACAATGCGTCTTGGTGGTGATTAACCTAAATTTAGCGCTGTCCACGTGTGATCAGATAACATGTTAATACCAGGTGTAAACAGGCTCTTGCATCAACCTCAACTACACTTTGTGTTCTGTGCTTGTTAGCCATAAACTGTACAACAGAGGTGTAGCTAAAGTGATGTCACCCACTGGTTTGTAGACTACCGTTTTGACACCTCAAATTTGACATTTTGGCTGTCACCATCTTGGTTATTTTTTTGGTGCCACATGTGACCATATTTGGATGAGAAGGTGGAGCTTTGGGCAAGCGGTGGATGTATTTGAGAACCCAAGGACACGACTGTGGCAGTGACTTGTCAATCACAAGGTAGCCTCACCCAAAGCATACCCTATTTTATTGTCTATTTCACTCTAACTGGAACCATAATTTACAAAATGAACATCATGCTGTATTGAAGAAGACTTGAAACTAGTGACTGACACCATAAAATTGTTAGGAGAATGTTTACTGAGGTAATAAATCAAGTGAGAAGTAGGGTCATTTTTTTCTTCTGGTCAGTGGACAGAACGTAGGTTTAAGGCCTTTCTGCATTGGCTTAATTTTCAGACCCGGAGTCTACGTCCACTTCTTCTATAGAGTCTATGTAATTAGCCAGTGTTAGCAAGCTAACACACTAAATTAAGATGGCGGACATGGTAAACATTACACGAGCTTAACAACAACATGTTGACACAGTCATTGTGTTGTTAGCACACTGACATTAGCATTTAGCTCAAATCACGCTGTACCTAAGTACAGCGGGAACGGCCCATTGTTCCGACCATATTAAACCCATTGTTCCGACCATATTAAACCCATTGTTCCGAAGTCCAGTTGTTCCAAAATCATCATGATGCCCTGTGGTTAAGGTCTGGTTAGGTTTAGGCACAAAAACCACTTGGTTAGGGTTAGGAAAAGATCATGGTGTGGGTTAAAATGAAAAAGAAAGTGACAAACACATAAGCCGTGAGCCTGCTTCGCCACAAGCCTTTCCCAGCTGACCCAGAGCCGGTCGCAGCGCACCATCAAGGCAGAAATACGCCCGCCGGGAGCCGTTCAGCACCACGGACCGTCGGACTAATGGGATGTCGGACCANGCGCACCATCAAGGCAGAAATACGCCCGCCGGGAGCCGTTCAGCACCACGGACCGTCGGACTAATGGGATGTCGGACCAATGGGCTGTCGGACCAATGACATGGACCCAGTACAGCTTCACTGTGCTGCCAAGGTGTCTGTAATCTCTTAGCCTTGTTTACCTGTTTTCACAGTCTCTGTTCGTCACTATTGAAGTGTGATGTTACCTGGTTTACATCTCCCTCTCCAATAACAAGGACAAGCTTGCAGTCCTTCTCCACCACAGTGCGGTCCTCCAGGACACATTGCATCTTCACAGTAACCTCCTGGCCCCAGGCGGGGCTCAGGGCGAGCGGGTCCCCGGACTCCAACAACTTCTTCCTCAACAGCCGATCCCCTGCGTGAGGAAAGAAGAAAGGGTCACGCAGAAGAAAGCGAGGTTAATCTCGTGGCTGTTGGTAAACAAGTGCTCAGACAAAAACATACTAGGCTTGACCTCAGTCATGTTTGGTCTTTTTTTTTGTCAATCCAAAATTAAATCAAAAGGTTAAAGTTAAATAAACAGGAAGCAATGGTTACTGATGAGTTAGGGCATTTTTTTACTAATACTAAGTGTGTTGTACTGATGTATCCTCACCTGTGATGTCATGCCAATCATTTGCTGCAAACAGCTCCTCAAAGGTGGAGGAAGTCCACTCCACCGTGGCGTATTCTGGAAAGAGGCTCTCTGCTGAGCTGTCTCTCTCCAACACATCATCCTCTGTTGATGGGTCTTGAAACCGCACCATCTTCCAGCTGTTTGTTTTTTTCAGTTTCCTCCGCTCCTTACATCCTGTGTCTTCACTTTGCTCAGGATCAGAGGGGGTTTTTATCTCAGTGTTTTTACTCTCTTCTGCACAGCTCGCTGTTTCAGCCTGCTCTTTCCCACTCAGCTCCTCGCCTTCCTCTGCAGGCCCACAGGGCGGCTCGGTGTGACTGTCCCCGTCAGAAAGCTTGGAAATGGCCTCTGTTACCTCGGGCTCTGTAGGCTCAGCTGCAGGGTCTTCGTGCTCTTCACAACACGGTTCTGTCTCCATGTCACTGCAGAGAGTGATGGACACCACCTGCATTAGCCTCCAGAAAAGATGATCCTCCTGGTCTGAGCCAATGTTCCGCTTAGGTGCAGGTTAGTAGTTCGGTTGGAACCAACTTCTGCCACCTACATTCAGTCAAAACAAAGAAAAGATCTCCATGATGTAACATTTACAAAAATCCATGTTGTGTTTCATTAAAACCAACTCAGAATGCATCCCTAAACCCTGGCTCAATTCACAGTTTTTTTGGAAAAGCTTTGTCCCGCCTGTATCTGCGAAGTTCCTGCAGTCCTGTTGCACTTTGACCTCCGCTCACTCCTGCTTGCAATTGTCTCAGTCCACACAGTCCAGTGATGTGGCAGCACCAAAAAATGATCAATGTAAAGAAACTGCAACGCAACGAAGCACTCCCAGCCAGCAGGCTTGTGCACTGGTAATCTGCAGGATTAGAAGAGAAAAACCTAATCTGCCAGAACGTCTGTAAGCTTCTTAATGACTTCACCGTCGTGCCCCACAACGCAGTTTCCATGAATGCAATCTACCAATAAGATCTCAGGAGATACAAGCTCTAACTTAATTTGCATAGAGTTATGGTAAAGATGTTTATTTTGACTTTTTAAGAAGAACCACAGCACTAATAACCTGTAGGCTGTAGAACTGACACCAGATTACAGATTTCATACGCTGGTTTTATGGTGTAAAACTGCCGGAGGATAAACATCTCACATCATGTGTATAACACACTTGGGTATATTTACATTCTTTAAAGCTGAAAACCTTCATTTTTTTAACCCATGAAGGTCATTTAAAAATGTTTTGTCAAGTTCATCAAGAAAATAAATCAGACATTTTTCTGAGCCTTGAAGTACAGATAAATACTAAACTATAGTATTTAACTGGTAAGAGTTTGGTCTTTTGATAGGTTCATATTTAAGTTCAGCAGACTGTGACTTTGACGTACAATCTAAGAGCTGGCCAGATTTAAAGGGACAGTTCACCTTAAAGTAAAAAAAACAACACACTTTTCCTCTTACCTGTAGTGCTAATTATCATCTAGACTGAGTGTTGGAGATATCAACTGAGAGATGTCTGTCTTCTCCTCAATATAATGGAACTAGATGGCACTAGATGGCAGAGGAAATCTCCGCTCATCGCTAGGCTAATATATACAATGTAAAATACCATAGGCTGGCACTAATAATGTTAGCATGTTACATTTGTTTGGAAAACATGTTTAGTATATAAGGCAGTTGTTTTGTCGGTGAACCTTGTCAGTTGTAAGGGAGGCGAATTTTGGAACGTTACCTTTACTAAATGTTGCCGTTGCCCCTGGTTTCATATGAAAAGAGGAAAAGTTCGCTAGATGCTAGGCTAATTTATCCATCCATCCATCTTCTAACCGCTTCATCCTCTTGGGGGTCGTGGGGGGGCTGGAGCCTATCCCAGCTGACATTGGGCGAGAGGCAGGGTACACCCTGGACAGGTCGCCAGACTATCGCAAGGCTAACACATAGAGACAGACAACCATTCACACCTACGGACAATTTAGAGTTATCAATTAACCTAATCCCCAATCTGCATGTCTTTGGACTGTGGGAGGAAGAGTGCCCGGAGAGAACCAGGAACCCTCTTGCTGTGAGGCGACAGTGCTAACAACCACACCACCGTACCGCCCTAGGCTAATTCATGCAATGTAAAATGCCACAGGCTTGTGGTAATAACCTTAGCATGTTGTTATTTGGGGAAAATGTGTCCAGATAAAGAAGTGTTTTGTTTGTAAATGCTGCGAGTTATAGTGAAGCCAATTTGTGTACTTGTGTTTGAAATTGTCTCTATTAAGCCATGTTTAATGTGTGTTTTGAATCAGCCAAACTTTATAGCACTTCACAGAAACCTCCGCCGCTGACAAGTGTTTTTGAGGTGTAATTGCAGAGTGACTGTAGCTATGTCTCCATCCAAAAGTGATTAGAATCATTGGGAAATGCGCATTAAAAGAAATACGAATCCTGTGTGTTTCCATTCCATGGACTTTGGTGAAAACTACGAACTCGCGCAAGTCTTCCGCAGAACCGGAAAAAAACAAGTCTCGCATTCTTCCTCTTCTACGTTTTCTGGCGGTTGGCAACCAGCTTGTAAATGCATTACCGCCTTCCCATCCAGAGTGTGGATATCACCATGGAGAGAGGTGCCCTACGTCAGACTTAATTCGAACATAACTGTTTCCATCCCCCATTTTGCGAATCAGCATTTTTTTGAATCAACCAAAACCCGGCTAAAGCGAGCATATTTTAGTTTGTGCGAATCAGGGGATTTTAATTCGAATTTTGGCGTTTCCATCATAATTTTCTGATGCGATACTTCTAGATGCACATTTAAACAGGCTGATGGAAACATGGCTACAGACACACAACACACAACATCGTATATAAGTACTGTATAAATCCAGTTTAAGATGTAAACCTTAACAGCCTCCTAAGCTGAGCTGTAATGTTAGCTAGCTCAGTGATGCTAGGTGAGCTAGCAGTAGATGAATGCATTCTTCTGTGCGGTGATTCAGTTGGCGGATGTAGTATAATAGAAAGAAAACAGTTCCTACATGAAACTTCTCACAACAAGGTCTGTGGATTATCTTGAGTAACCAGGTCATGATTTCCAGGAAGAGACATTGCTGTTGAGTTTTTCCAAATGTATATTTCTGGCACTTTGAGCACCACATGCCGAGTGCTATCTAGTTGCATTATATTCAAAAGAAGTCAGACAAGCCGATATCTCCAACACTCAGCAACTCACACCAAAACAGTCTAGACTGATACATAGGTAAAATTAAAAATTTGTATTTTTGATTTGTCTCTTTAAGTGACAGTTTATAAAAAGTCATGTTTATATTGTGATGAGATTTTTCCCCATGACTGAGCATTGTGTCTACATTAATGTAAAGCTAAAGTTGTCTGACCTTATGTCAGATATGTTACCTAAAAACACCCAGTTGTTCACAGAGGGTGATAATGGGATTTAGATTACATTGATTAAAATGTCACAACACTGGTTTTGTAAGACTTCATGCATCTGTCACTTTCAGCAAATAAACAGCACAGAAAATGTTACCCAGTTGTTTCACTGGTGCACCAATGCAAAGTCATTCCTAACCTACTGTTGTACCAAAGGAAATGACAAACATAAAAATATCAGGTATTGTATCAAGTATTTGGCTGTTGTGTCACTGCAGGAGCAGAACTAGACTAACGTAACACTACGAACTGTTAGACAGAAAACATCCTCCCAACCATGTTGTAAATAAGCACTGCACTACTGACTGTAAGGCTACTCACTAATCCACAGCAAAAGCATGTTGTCCATCAGGGATTAAATTAATCCAGATTCCACATTTGTCTTTTATTTTCTCTGACACACAGAGAAACGATACACACACAGCAAGTAAAGGTGACATTTGTTTGGACATTGTTTTTTCACAAATACTGTGCTTTAATGCTTTTGAGATACTTAAACTTTACATAGGCGCTTTCATTATACTACTTTTGGCTTATTCTCCAATGCATTTAAGAGGAACATATTGTACTTTTTTACTCCATTGCTTGAATTTGACAGGTTAATTTACATTTCAGATTAATATGTTGATGTTGAAAATGATGGGTTATTATGGGATACACAGTAGTTAGCTACAACATTAAAATACTGCTTACACATTAAAATAATCATCTATTTTGATCATCAGTTCATCATTTTAGTCATATTTAAAGCAAAACTACCAAACTTTCACTGCAGCTTCTGAAATGTGTCTGAGGTGAGCTGCTCGTCTTTGTCTTATTTGCTAGTAAACTGAATATATATTCAGGTTTTAGACTGCTGTTTTGACAAAGCAGGACATTTTAATATGTCACTTGTGAATTCAAATCAAATCAAGTTTATTTATCTAGCACTTTTAAAAACAACCACAGCTGACCAAAGTTCTGTACAAATAAGATGACACTCATATCTAGCAATTTAAAATGTACATACTGTATATGCAAATATAAATCATAATATCAATGATAAGAACAATTACATACGTAAAAAATATTATAAAATACTAAAATATTAAAATCACTACAAACAACCAAAGACTATTGAAGATTTGTCTTAAAAGTGTCATTGGAGGGGGAGCATTTAATTGAGAGCGAAGGCTATTCCAAAGCTTTGGAGCAGCTACCGCAAAGGCACAATCTCTCTTAGCCACCAGCCTCGATCGTGGGACAGTTAAAAGACCTGGTTAAGAAGATCTAAGGGGTCGGGAGTTGGAGAAGGGGCAGAGAAGTACAGCAATACACTGGGGTGTCAGCCCATGTATGGCTTTAAATACAAATGAAAAAACCTTAAAATCAATCCTGTATTTGACAGGTAGCCAGTGCAGGGATGTTAGCACTGGTGTAATGCTGTCTCTTTTTGGGAAGTTATGATGGGCATTTTTCTGACATAACACAAACAAAATCAAAAATCAGTTTACTGAGAAAATCAGTGTTGGGGAAGTTTCTTGTAAAACGTAAGAGGTCCAAGACTAGCATCGTTCACAGGTAGAGGTAGTAGAAAAGTGCACCCTGATCATACCATAAGCCATCACTCCTGTAATGGTGTACAAGTGCCCAGCTAAGAGGGTGACATAACATATAACATATAATAATAGGCAAAAGCTACCTGAGATGGCATGGGGTAGAGCAGAGACAATACTTTGGATAAGTTATTTTTTCTGGTAAATTTCTCTTTTACTTAAGCAAAATGTTTTATGTATAACAGAGTATTTTTATACTGTTGTTTTTACTGTATACTTCTTCCTCCACATACATTTTGTTTTGGAATAAACATGGGAAATAAACAAAGTTTTTCATATAGGTTTTGTTTTGGTTAAAATTTCTACACCAAAACTTCTCTGCACTGCATAAAAAACTAAATGAGAATGTCATTTCCAAAATGTCTCACTCATACATGTCTCTGCAGGGGTCAGTCTACATAATAACCAGTTTTAATTTGGATACTTTAAGTTATGTTTAATTAGGAGTATTTTTATACTGTTGTTTACATATTGGTACTTCAAATCAGTGGTTCCCAACTGGTGGGTCCTGGTCCAAAAGTGGGTCCCGGGTCCATTCTGAATGGACTGCAAGTGACTCATGATGGTGTCAAGTTTGTAAAAAAACCACATACACACGTGATCTTGAAGTACAGTGAATTTGGCACAGAACTTTTATCTTAAAGTGCCACTCCCTGCTGTAAAGTGAGTGACTAATGGACAGCTACGTGACAGAGACAGCAAACTAGCTCAATGACATGGCCAAACGTAAGTATGATGCTGAATACACTGGACTGTGTGGACCTTGGATAAATGACTGGACCCTGTGGCTGGACCACTTGAGAATCATTGCTTTAAATGATCTAAATACTATCCATCCATTTTCATCCGCTTATCCAAGGCCAGGTCACAGGGGCAGCAGGCCAAACAAAGTACCCCAGACATCCCTCTCCCCAGCAACGCTCTCCAGTTCCTCCTGGGGGACCCCAAGGTGTTCCCAGGTCAGATGAGATATAATCCTTCTAGTGTGTTCTGAGTCTGCCCCGGGGCCTCCTACCAGTGGGACGCACCTGAAACACTTCCAGCGGCAGGCACCCAGGAGGCATCCTGATCAGATGCCCGAACCACCTCAACTGACCCCTTTCGACGTGAAGAAGCAGCGGCTCTACTCTGGATGTTCGAGCTACTTACCCTATCTCTAAGTCTGCTTGTATCTGGGATCTCATTCTTCCCGTCACTACCCAGAGCTCATGACCATAAATGAGGGTTTGGATGCAGACAGACCAGTAAATCGAAAGCTATGCCTTCCGGCTCAGCTCCGTCTTCACCACAACGGTTTGGTACAGCGCCTGCATCACTACTGAAGTCGCACCAAACTGCTGATCCTTGTCATGCTCCATCCTACCCTCACTTGAGAACAAGACACCGAGATACTTCAACACCCTCACTTGAGGGAGTAACTCTCCCTCAACCCCGAGAGGGTTTCCGGCAGAGAACCTCGGCCTCAGATTTGAAGGTGCTGACTCTCATTCCGACCGCTTCGGTATATATTCTGTTTGTGTAAATAATCTTGTTCAGTTTACAATATATATATATATATATATATTTATGTTGTATCTTTCCTCTCTTGCAAGGAGCACCTGTAACATAATAATTTCCCCTCAGGGATCAATAAAGTATTTCTGATTCTGATTCACACTTGGCTGCAAACCGCCCCAGTGCATGCTGGTAAATACTTATTCCACCTGTGACTATTGATTCAGGAACAAACACGGGATTAAATAAAGTTTTTCATATAGGTTTAGTTTTGGTTAAACTTTCTGCACAAAGCTTCTCTGCACCACACAAATAAATCAGAATAGTTTCCAAAATGCCTTTAATTTTTGACTCATACATGTTCCTGCAGGTGTGTTTACACTTCCTAGTGTGCGTGCTGCAGAAACACACGGTGCATTCACCAAAATCCAGTTAGAGGAGTGCAAGCCGGCCCAGAAATAGATCAAAGACAAGATAAATACAGGCTGGAAACTCTGAGGGTACAAATGCCTAAATGATCGTGACCTGGAAAGCGAAAGTAGAGTTGTTTCTCTCTCTCTCTCTCTCTCTCTCTCTCCCTCTCTGTCTGTCTCTCTCCATGTACGTGTGTGTCTGAATGTGTGTGTGAGTGCTAGCCCCGCCCCCAGTCCCTCTCCTCCGTGACGTAGCAGGCAGTATGTCGCCAATAGTGTTCAGTTGTAGAAATGGCAGCGCTGAGACAGGAGCATCGGTATGGGCTCTCCTGTGGCAAAATCAACAAAAACACCCCGAATCAAACTCTGTATCACGTCAAACTCACTGACACTGCCATCCGGACCCTCGAAGCCTACCAGAACCTGAAGGTAAGGAGAAATCATCGGGTTGAACTTTGGAGCTTATGTGTGTGTGCGCGTGTTTTTCTTTCCCAGCTGTATTTTCATTTTCTTAAATCGCTTTCCAACTCCGGGAACAGTAAGGAAACACAGCTCTGTCTTATTTGGTATTAAAAAGTAAAAGTTGAAATAGTTGAGCAGGTTGAATGTGATCGACAGAAGCGTTGACGTCTGATAAATGTTGCTTTACAGTAAAAGACTAAGCTTGATTTATTATTGTCATCATAGCAGGCAGTTCAGTAGGCTGTCATGAATGAAGGATTTCATTAAATTCCCCTATAAGCCCCACGTACAATTTGTTTTGTGCAGAAAAAAAAGGAGAGGCTGTTTTTCAATTGTGCATGTCTGCTTGTTTACCAGAGCGTAATCTCCCGAAAAACCAAAAGGTATTAAAGTTCCCATATGACAGAGGTTTGTGATTATGAGCCCTGAGCTTTAAAAGCCTCATTGCTTTTCTATACATACATTACATCTGAAATTCATTATTTAGATTATGGGCGAACACAGACGATTGTCAGTCATTAAATGTTTTTTTTAAAAAAAGGCTGTTTTTTTCTGTTCGTTTCGCTCTCGGGAATAAATTAATGAACAAGCTATCAAGCAAATTATTCGACTCCTCTGAATCGGGAGACTGTTTTATTGCTTTTATGGTCCATTAGATTAGACCGAGATAATTTAGTCTATCCAAATGGTCCTTCCCAGAGCAATGATAAGACAGTTAGTCCCACAGTTAGGACTGCAGCACTTGGAGGCTCTTTTTTTTTAAACAAATAAAGAGTATGTGCGTGTGCGCCACAGTCCCAGGTCACACTAAAACTAGACCTGGATGTGGGACTCGGTGGCAGGGCTCGACAACTTGTCGCTTGGCTCTTGTGTATTATTGTTTTTTGCCCTTTACACGCCTGGAAGCCCGCCCAGCTCCGGAGCTCATTGGTCTGTGAAGCAGAGTAAACTCCAGAGCTCACACAGCCTGACAGCTTCCTCCAGGCCAGAGCAGGCAGGCAGGCAGGCAGGAGAGGTTACTGCAAAAGTTTTCCAAGTCAAAGACCACCCCAGAAAACACTGCCTCAGACCGCTGGACTCCCACTGTGGTGGTGTGGGAGATTTTGTCCTCAGGAGCCTCAGCCTGAAAAAGCTTCCTGTTATCAGATGTGATTTATTTATGATTTTCGCGTCTGTGTTGTGGGTGAGAAGAGGAGAGAAGGCCCTGTTAAACCCTAAAATAAACTTCTTATACATGAAAGTTTGAGGGCTGCAACTAAGGATTTATGTGACAAATGTTTTCTCAAGCGAGTAATTGTTTGGTCAGTGAAATGCCACAATCACAATTACACAAATATCAAAGGATATCCAGTTGAGAAGCAGTGTAACTTTGCCACATCTGCAAAAACAAATGACTCAAACAATCAATAGATTGTCAAAATAGTTGCAGAGTAACTTTCTGCTTTGACTGGGGGCCGTTTCTACAACATGACAGGAGGCCAGGGGCCAGTTAAAAAGCAAACATTAATAATTAATACTTAAATAATTAGCTCTGACCTCTGACTCGGGGTCGAGGGGATGATAAACAATGATAAACAAGCTCTGTTTTGTGGCTTTTTTATGCACTTCGGCACCTTAATGACATTCAAAGTACAAAAAAAAAAATCCCAGATTGAATCAGTTTATTTTTATAGTGAATTAGATAATGGTCAGCAACCAGCCGACACCCTATCTGGTCTGGAAGTTGAGAATCATTGCAGAATTTCACAAAGCTGACGTTCTTGTTCTGTCCAAAGATGTTAAATTCACTTTTGTTGCAGATTTAGAAACCAGCAAATATTCACAGTGAGAAGTCAGAACCAGTTCATTTTTCTCTCCTTTGCTTTATAAATGACTTCAATGACTAATAAATTATAAAAATAGCTGCTGATTAATTTTCTGTTGATCCTGTAATTCATTATTCTGTCCCACTTTCTAACACAGCACCCTTCATATGAAGAGTTTATTATTTGAAGTAATGGCTCCATTAATATCAAGGTTGTAAAAAAATCCCTCTGGCTGGTGTTTATCATTTCTATTTTGTTGCTTTAAATGTTGGTAATCCATTAATGAGCACTCGTGGGTTTCTAGCTGTCTAATAAGATATCATGTCTGTGGATATAAAGAAGTTAAGTAAATAATTTTTGGTCTAAATGCTGCAGCTGAAAGAGAATAAACACCAGGCAAAGAGTATCTGTCACAACCTGGCAACCCTGAAATTAAAATTCTTATTCATGGCTAATCTATAAATAATATTTATTAAGCTGTTAGTTACAACTTATATGTCCTTCTTAAAGGGTGCCTTGTTAGAAAGTTGTGCTAATTAATTGGCATTGTTTCAGTGAGTACAAAAAAATTAATAAATTATCATATAAAAAAATAAACTGCTTTATTTTCCACTCAAGATAAACCATCTGATTTAGCCCTACGGCTATATTTGTAACAAACATTAAGTGCTTTAATATTTATTATTCCATTCAATATTAAAAGCAAACGGATGATGAAGAAAATCACAACAATACTCTTCAATGGGGAAGACATTTCCCAAAACCATTAATAATAAATTAAGAGCACTGTCAATCACAGGCACAGCTGTACGTCACGGATAATTGTCTCCATCTATTAAGTATGTATCATGCTGCCTCAAAGGCAGATATTTTTTTATGATTTTGATTTTTCTTTCATCAGTCAGGGGGGAAAGAAACAATATGATGTTCTGGAGCTTAAGCCAGGTACACTGTGGTCTTGGAGAGCAGTGCATTTATAAACCGCGGCACAGAGGGCTTATAAAAAGTACATTTTGAAAAAAATATATAATTGGTTTCAGAAGGAGCTTTGTGTCTCTCCCCGGGGATCTGTTGTTACTTTTATTTATTTAATCATTTAGAGGGGAAATCAGCTGAAACACACAAATAACAAACTGACTGACACAAAGTTTTCTGTAGGCTATAGATTGATTAATCACACACATTCCTCTAAAGATTAGGAGCACGACCCCCTGAACTGTGGACCTAATGATACAGAAATATTGCAGCAATTCATCAGGGCAGAGCCTGATGGGAAACGGCAATTATGGCATTGTTTTGGCATTTAGCAAGAAAAGTTTACCAAGGCCTTGTCTCATCGAGCCAGACTGCTGTTATCTGGAGAAATCCACCGTGCAGAGCTGGAACAATGGCGATATATTCCCACTCATAATGTATGAGCTGTCCATTAGATTAAACATGATTCCTGAATCAGTGACCACTTTCTTCTCTCTCTCTCTCTCTCTCTCTCTCTCTCTCTCTCTCCCTCCTCAGGCATCACTATCAAATCAGCCAGCGATTTGCTTCAAGGGGAGCCAGGGGGTAAGATGTTTTGCATACTCTCCCTAATGCCTCAGAAATTGAATGCTCTAATTAGTTCTGATTTGCTGTGGAGCACACTTGTGACAGTTCCTCTGCACATCTTACTCGATTCTTAAGCATTCAATAAGCGCCTGCATGTCACAAAAAGGGTCAAAAATCCTCTGATTATCATTTCAGTCAGTGGATTTTGTTGCTTTGGATTGTTTTCTGTCTTAAAACTGAAAGATCCAGCCATCAACAGGGAGAATGTGTCTGCTTTAAATGCACCAGAGAACAACGCCTGAGGGAAAGGTGTCCTTAATTTGCTTAGTTATACTTTGTTGTGTCAAATATCCTGGACTGCATGTGAAGTACATAATCTACAAAAAATGCAGTGAAAGCAAGAGGGCATTCCTGTGTAGAGTCTGTGAAGAAAGATGCTTGTGTCCGGCCAGATTAACCGGGCCGCTATTGCACTCTGCCTGCTAGGCTACTACACGTCTACCACACAGTCAGCCCTGTCTAAAAGGAGCTGTTCTAATCCCTGCAAGAGCCGATTGCATCGACGAAAGTGACTTTGCTCTGTACACAAATGCCTTCCCTGTGTGCTCACACGGACCCTGGAAGCCCTAAGACAGTGTACGCTATACCCCCAGGCTGCTAGCCAGGTTACTGGGTCAGGCTTGCAACTGGGGAGGCTTTGTTCGGGGAGGGGGAGGAGGGTAAAGGGGGGCTGGTGAACCCCAGGGAGCCCCCATGTCTCCATGCCTGTTGTCTCCGTGCAGACATGAAAGATTTGAAATACGGGAATGATACATGAGCGGTGGAATTTATACCCAGGCAGCGTGCAAAATATGCCCAAAACACAAATAATACATGTAAACATGTAATAAAACATCTGTAAGACGAGCAGCAGATTAACCTGCTCATAAGAGTCTTTCTGTGAAGAAATGTTAAGTGAGTGCAATTTAAGTGTTCTTTAATCACTGAATGGGATTTGGTGATTATATCTGGGCTGGCACATTACATATTCAAATTGCTTTGCGGAATTCAAGCGCGGGCTCCCTCCCCCTCCGACAATAGTCCCCGAGCTGGACGATTGGGCATTAATGAGGTAGCTGCAACCATTGGTGGTGGGGGAGGCCAGATTAAGCCGTTAGTGGGGGGAGGATGTTGGTGAACATGGCAGTCTGGCATCCAACAGACCCGAGAGGATAACCAGTATCTGTGTCTCCAGGTTGGAGGTTTACAGCATCACAGATGTAGCTACTTTTTAATTTGCCGGATAAGTGTTTGCCAGAGCTCAAATGCAGCGTGAGCTTCAAGAGGTCAAATGTCGCGAGCAAGGAGGTTTGTGTCCACTGATAGTTGGCAGCTGTAGAGCTCCATCACAGGAGCCACGACTGCTTCTCTCTGATCTTTGTCCTCACTGGCTCATGTCACATTTCCTGTAAAGGGGCACTTCCAGGGCCACAGAAACCAGAGGAATTCTTCAAATCACTGTCCTGGCGTCACTCCAGGGCTCAGCGGTATCAGGGGCCAGGGCTCCTATCAAGAAATAGCACGCTGAGGTTTTTCGGCTGCCTTCCTCCCTGACCCTGCGGCATTTAGCCCTACTATTGTAAATTGTCTGCCAAGCTTGTAATCATGCAATGGAAGACACAGGCGCTCGGATGCCACTGAAACTAGCATTCAAGGCGACTGTGAAACTTAGAAATTGCAATAAGAAAACTCTGCTTCTGAATCTTGCTAACCTCTATTTTTACTCGTCTAAAAGTGGATGATATCGGAGGAAAGTGAGCTGAATGGGTTCGATCAATAACGTCTGGAGCGGTGAAAGAAAATTTAAAAAAAAGTGGAGGCTGTGATGCAACTAGAAAGAAATAAGAGAAGCAGAGAGATACTCTTCACATTTCATAAAAGATGGAAGTTGAAACGAAATTAGATTTCTGGATTACTTTGAAATAATCACCAGGAATTAGGGAATATATTCAGAGCTGGTCTGGGTTCCCATGGCCAGGAATTTCACATCCTAGTGCTTATTTTCCTCCAGGGCTGGCAGCGCTGCTTGCTTGTTGGCATGATCTATATCCATTTAGTGAGAAATGAAGCTTGTGTCAGTTCTTATTTATTAGATCCAGGCCGCAGGGTGCATATTGATTAGGAAATGTGTTTTATCCATTGCTACAGTGCTTGTTATTTAAAAGCACATACTTCACATACTTCTTTTTCTTGATGTTTCCACTCACATTTCTGTACGGGCTTGTGAGCACTGTGTCTCACCTATTACATCGTGGCACTCTGTATTATTTTGCACCACTGAATATAACTTTTATTGGTGTAATACTGTGGCAGTAAACAAGGACATTACATTTGAATACTCTATGTTGTGCTGTGTCAGGTGTGACATCGGTTTCATTTCCTCCTCACTTCATAAATGTTGAATTGCAGTTACCAGAGTAATTGTTTTTGTTTACGGCCCTGTCTGTATTTATGTGCACAGCTGTCACATAAAGGCAGCGGTGTTGGGATGAGGGGAACGTGGAGGTGCTCTTAAAGATATTCTCATGACGACTGTGTGTGAAGGCTGAGCTTCCCCTGGGCTCCCTCCCACCGGCCCTCTTGATTATTTTGCCATTTCGCCCCATGCCTTGGCTGAGTCCTTGGGAGACATCAGGGCCTCTATCTCACACACGGCTGCTCTGACTCTACCCCCCACCACCACGCCGCTTTGCTTTGCCTCCCCGCTCGCACTGCAAATAAGCTTTTGCAGAGTGCAAGTGTGTGTATGTGTGCATGCACACATCCTTTTTTCTCTCGTTTTTTTTCTGGAAGCTAATTAGAATAACAATAACAGGAATGTGGTTTGAGAGCCGTCCTCTGCCAGTGGCATAGCAGTGAGAGGGAGAGTTGTCCCACGTGTTTCTGAAAGGGCACACGCCGCTCTATTCATCCAGATGTGTTAAGCGAGGCAAAAGTCTCTGTGTTCTGCACTCGTCTGAGGCCCACTGTGTTTATGCAGAGCTAGTTTGGCCTAAGGATCTTTGGCTCATACAGTATATTTTAGGAACTCGCCTCATGAGATCCTGCAGTTAAAGAGGACTTTTCTTTACTTAGCTCCTCTGTTATTATTGTGTTCTTTTGCTTAAAACAGGGGATTTCGAAGAATGCCATGTTGACTGTGGCAGCATTTTAGTAGAACATTTTTATGGTTACAAGAGTGCTGTAAAAGATCAGAAATCGGTGATACAAACTGGGCAGGCAGTGCGACTAAAAACGGCAATATGTGAGTAAGTAACCTTTAATTAGTAAGAATAAGGAACACAGTGAAACACACACAGAGTTTTGTGTTGTTGTTGTTTGTTTACATTCCAAGCTGGGACCATTAGGACGGAAGATGTAACCATCACCCTGGGAAACTGGAAATAGCAGCAAGAGAACTCACAATAACAACACAGGCTGCTTAAAATAAGTGACTAAGGGAATATTGTTTGGTTGTTAACTCATAGGCACGATATCATAAAACTCAACGAGCAAAGCCTTTAAAGGTTCAATTTGGACTATTGTAAAATGTTATCATTTACAAAAAATAAAAGGAAATTAATGTTGCTGTTTCCTGTGGAAATGCAACAGATGATATGATGTTTTAGCCTGATGATAAATGTTTGGGCAGTGGAGCTTCTGTGCTCATTTACCCCACAGGCTGTTTGGATATTGGCATCAGAATCAAGATTATTAAAATTGTAACGTCAACGGAATGACTACATATAACACTCATTATGCTGTGTGTTATTGAGGGCAGTGTGGTGTTTTTAATTACTACAAATAGTTTATAGCATTAGTAATAGTTTATAAAGAGACCCTTGGTGGTTTGTGTCCAGTCAGGAAGACATTGTGTTTTATAATATTCCAGAGGTGTGGAGTCACAAGACTTGGACTCAAGTCAGACTCAAGTCACAAATTTGATCACTTTATTCTCAATTTTATAAAATCAAAAAGACTTGCAACTCGACTTCACTTGGACTTTAGACTTGCAAATACTTGATACCTATAAATTAAAAAGTGTTATTTGATTAGTGTGCTAAGATTTAATTTGCTTCCCTTTAAATCAACGAACATTAATACTATTCATTCCCATCAAGATGACACTTAAAGCTGCAGTAGGTAGAAAGCCTGAAAACGGTTGATTTTTGAGTTTCATCTGAGTTAGGTTTCGTTCGTCTCCACTCTGAGCCCCTCCTACTAGACGCGCACACAAGTATTTTATACTACTTGGTTCTATTTCTCCCTCTCTGGGAGCCTCGGCTCTCCCTCACCACACAGCAGCCCTCCCCATCCCTCCCTCGCGGCCCCGCACATACTCCCGAGCCTTGGCTCTCCTTCACAGCGCAGCAGCCTGCCCCGCACATACCCCCTTGGCTCCGCTCCCACGGCCGACCCTCGCGCCCTCCGGCCGGGCCCGGCCCCACCTCACCCTTCTCCTCTCTCTGGGGCTCAGGGGAACCGAGTTCTGTCTTCCTTTTTTGGGTTGTTTAGCCGTGTAGGCAGTAGTAGCCAATGCTGGAATAGCTATTTTACCTGGTGCACTGTTCGCAATTGCCGCTTGCTCTCCCCTTCTGCCAGCGGCACAGGAACGCGCATATGCAGTAGAACAGCCATAGGAACGCAGTGGTCTCAGCTGACCTTTGATTGGTTGATGCACATCGGCACAATACTGATTCTTTGGAGGCTGAACACAGAGCCATGGTGAGGTGCAGAAACCTATTGTTTGTCTCAGACCACTTGATTTACATTATGCTTAGAGGATATTATAAAATTTTTACTCTATTATACCAAAACAATGTTGCCTACTGGAGCTTTAATTCCCCAGATCCACTTTGTTTAAACCACCCTACAGTATCAAATTAAGTTGCAGGAGAGAACCATGAAGAAGTAAAATTCATTACTGAGTGCCAGTTGGAAAAAATGATGCCAAAGATACCAGAGTTTGCATACAAAAACTATGTGGTGGTCAACAAAAC